CCGCCTCCGACCCGGGTGAGCAGTCAGCTGGGACCCCTCACCCTGGTCCCCATGGCTGCATCCACCCACCGGACCTCCTCGGCCAGAGATGTTGGTGTCACCCAGCTGCACCCTGAGCTTGGCCAGGGGGGGTCCTCATGCGGGGGGTCTGGCCCAGGGGTGTTTTCTCACCAAATCTCACCTGGTTTCCAGCTAAAGGATCTCACCTGGTGGACCCTCTCGCAGGAGCCCCCCCAGCCCTCTGTGGACGTCACATCCCAGGGACACCCTGATGGTGAGTGCGTCTGGCAAGGGAGGCATCTTCAGTGCCCCCCGCTCCCCGCCTGCAATGGCCAGCAGGATGGCATGGATGCCCCACGCCTCAGTTTCCCCGGGGCCATGCTCCCTGCTAGGACATGGCCGGTCCCCACGTCCCTCTGGCCCCCACACTCACCATCTTTCTGTGCCAGGTTCCTGCTCAGCCACCCCGGGCAACCAGCAGCCATCAAAGGCTGAGGGACCCCTGGCCATGGCCATCAAGGACCCCATGGAGCCCCCCTTCTGGGTCCATGTCTGCAGCATCAACGCCCTTGTCCTGATGTGCATCAATATTTTCTGCTATGCCTATTTTGCCTAGCAGCTTGCCAGCCCCCCGGGGAGGGAGGGGGAAAGGTGCTGGGAGCGGGGGAGAAATGGGGATTTGGGTGATTCGGTTTTATTTGTCACATTTGGGACATGGGATGTTTAAATCCACTGGTGCAGTGAGCTGGGTGCTCTCAGCACTGTGGACCCTGAGTGCATCCCAGGGGGCTGTGAGGTGTGTGTGTGGGAATTTGTGGGGGCAGCGAGTCCCCAGGAGGGCTCTGGGGGGGGGAGGTACCACGGTGGGCAAATGGGGGCTGCAGGGGAAGCCAAACCACAGCGAAGCAGCAGGCGCACAAACGCGGCCACCGTGGTGCTGGTGGAAAAGAAGCAGCTGCACTCGAGGGTGTCACCCAAACACATTTTACTAGCTCTAAATAAAAAAATAATATATATTAAAAAAAAAAAAAAAAAGCCACAATTTGCAGCTATGAACAGCACCTGCGGGACTGAATCCCCCCCCTGGACCAGCCTTCCCCGGAGCCCCAGGACCCCTCCTCTGTGGAGTTACTGAGCCCGGCCGCATCCTGGCTGCCTGCCGCCCTCCTTGGAGCCAGGGCTTGGCTTACAGGGGCTGGAGAGGAGCAAAGGTTTGGGGCACACGTGCTCCTCCCCTCTCTTGCTGCCACCCAGCTGGGTCGGGGCTTCGAAAAAGTTTTTATGGCTCTGGTTCACTGCTCTGTGCTCCCTCCCCGGGGAGCACTGCTGCCAGCCTGCAGTGGGAGGTGATGCCCAGGCTGGGGGTGGCGGGGGTCTCCTGGGCTGGGGGAGCAGGGAGAGCCGTGGCTGATGTTTTGGGGTGCCGGAGCCAGGCAGTCCCTGGATGGGGACCACAGCCAGCCTGGCCTCTCCCTCCAGCACAGCCCATGTGGCACCGGGACCTCATGTGTCGGCAGCCTGGTGTGGGGACGGGCACCACCCGTGGGGACAGGGGGACGTGCAGTCCGCGTGCAGGCACAAAGCAGCTCCGGTGAGTGGGGGGCAGCGGGGGCTGGGGTCCTCCCTGCTCGCCCGCAGCGCCGGCGGCAGCTCACTTGTGGATGGGGTGGACGTAGTTGCGGGGGAAGAGGCCGACGCGCCCGTAGATCTTCCCCTGCCACCAGTTTGGGTCGGGGTAGTCCAGGACCTCGATGATGTCCCCGCGGAGGAAGGGCAGCTGGGAGCCGTCGTGGGCTGAGAAGTCGAACTGGGCTTGCACAAATTTGGGTCTCCTCACCTGTAGGGAAGCCGAGGGCAGGGGTTGGTGGGTGGGAGAGGTGCCCCTGTCTGCCAGCCCCTCCATGCCGGGCTGTACTGCCTGGGTCCCCAGTGTGACGGGGACGCCGTGCCACCGCGTGGCAAGGAGCAGCCTGGGGGCCAGAGCACAGAGGGTGCGGGGGTACTGGGGGTACCCGCTTTGAGGATGAGAGACAGGAGTTAGGGAAATCCTGCCACGGGAAGAGCCGCAGTGCTGAGGCAGCCCTGGGTCCACGGCAGAGCCTGGGGTGCAGGGGAAGCACCCTAGGGCGCGGGGCTCCCTGTTCCTGCTGCCCGGGAGAGCTGAGATGGGTGCCCAGGGGACCCCTGCCCCTCGGAGGCAGCTGATACCCCTCTCCTTCCCAGGTCATGCCCGGGTTCCTCCGGGTGCCGGAGCAGCCCCCAGCCCAGCTCACAGAGCCCAGTTTCGCCGCTGCCTCAGCTGCTGCCCCAGGGCTCAGCTTTCCTGGAGCTCACCGGGAGCTGGCTGCGCCCCATCCTGAGCTGGTTGGGCTCTGCCACCCACCCCGGGCATCACCCCTGGCCTGAGGGGCGGTGGTGTGGGCCTGGGGGGAGCCGCCATGCCCTGCCCTGCCCTGCCGAGCTGCGCCAGTGGCTTTTCTCCACCCTGCCAGCTTCCCCACAGCGCTGCCTGTCTCCTGCTGTTCCAGCCTCTCCTGCTCCACGCTGCCCTGAGCCAAGCCTGAGCATGGGGCCAAGCAACAGCCGGGCACCCGGAATGTCCCCGTCCCCCTCTGTGAGGATGATGCAGCTGGGGGAGCCAAGCCTCAAGGGGTTGGGGATCGGACTCCCCGGATGCTTCTCAAGAGGGTGGTGGGGGAGCCTGTGCCCAGGGGCGTCAGGACCCCATCCCTGCTCTGCGCCCAGCCATTTGCTTTCTTCCATTTTGTCCCTCTCTGCTGTCCCTCAGCCATCGCCAGAGTCCCATGGCCAGCAGGGAGGAGCAGGAAAAGTTGAGGCAGGAGGAAATCCCTGTCCCCGGGGACCCACAGCCCCATGCCACCTCCTCATGAGCACAGTCTGGGGTGAAGCAGGACCACGGCAGTGCTGCTGACCCACGGGCCCGTCCTGTGCCTCGGTTTCCTCATGGACCACAGCAGCAGCCTTGGTAGGAGGGGAGCGATGGGGTATCCCAAAAGGGATCAGACACAGGCTCCCAGCCTCACCCCGCTGCCGGCCATGCCATCACCCCACGTCTCAGCCCTGCGCCTCCCCATGGCCCCATCCCCTGATGGTACCTCCTGAGTCTGGTCCTCATCCCGGAGGAAGATCTGTTGCTTTTTGGCAATGGTAGTCGTCCTGTAGAAATCCACCAGCTCGTTGAGGGAGTTGAACTTCTCCTCCCAGAGGAAATATTTGCCATTCCTCTCCCTGAGCACCTTGAAGTGCTGGACGTGCTGCCCGTAGCTGCGGATGGAGGATGGATGTTACCCTGGCACTGGGATGCTGGCAGCACCCAGACCCCCTTCTGGCATGGCAGGCAAAGCCCAGGGGCTGCTTGCTGGGCTGGTCCTCCGGAGGGGCTGCGCGGGGTGCGGCTGTGCCCACAGGTCCCACTACACCCATTCTGCCATGGCCAGGGGTGACGGTGGCACTGGGGTCACTCCTGGTCCCACTGGTGAGGCTGTGGATGAGGGTCCCCAGCACAGGCCAGTGACAACGACCTGCAGCTGAGACCTGCCACAGCTCATCCCACATGCAGCTGAAGCTTGGCGCCTGACCCCAGCACAGCGGGATGCCCGTGGGCTCAGGGCTGGCAGCGTGCCGGCCACATGCAGGGGAGGTGGCTTTGTCCAGGGAACAAATAGGGGCCACATCTGAGGCCACGGGGTGAAAACACTCACGCAGAGCAGGTAAGAGCACAGGGTGGCCATGGTGGGCACTGGTGCTGCTTGGGCTTTCCTAAAAGCTCCGTGAGGGC